TAATAAGAATGCCCTTAAAGTTTATACCGTCAATAGTTACACCTTCACTGTCCAAAATTTTAATTTCACTGACAATGGGACTTAAAATGTTATTGTACTCTTCTTTTGGTATATTGACCTGTTATAAAAATGAATATAATAAGCACTTTTATCGATGTTTGTATTAATAACTTACGCTTTCAAAACGAAGGAGATCATGCAAGCATGTACGAAAATTTCCTCTTAAAAATCCTTCTTTCTTTCTACCAGATGATGGAGGAAGAACTTTAAGCAAGTAGAGAAAAGGACGAATTTCACTATTCCAACACTCAATTTTCGGAAGGTCTCTTGAACTGCTTACTGTGTCTTCTACCACCTCTTTTACCACAATCGAATATTTGATCCAATCATCGGATAAGCTTCTAGCCTTTTCACCATAATTAATTTCAAAATCGAATAATATCTACATACATATATAAATACATGGATATACAAGTATACATAAATATTGAAAAGATGCAACGTAAGAAAAATGTATGTGTGAGATATGCACAAATGTACATACATACATACATGGCGTTGCAAAACTGTTTATACGTTCACCAAATATTGACAACTTTTCACTATTTATTTTTTGTACTTGATTTTAATTTTTTTATAAAAACTTATTTCAAACTTGTTAAATCAGAATTTAAAAACAGATATAAGTATGCAGTTGTATTGCCAATTCAATTTTTTTATAATAAAGGTTGAAACTTGTAGTTGTCGGTAAATAATGAACTATATTTTTGTAAACAAATAATAAACTTAAAAAAGTAAATAGTGAAAACTTGTGAAAATGGGGTACACAATTTTACAATGCACTGAACTTCGTTTTTATCAGTTACCAGTTCGGGATCCACAAAAAAGAAAGGAAAACTATCATGAATATTTGCGCCGGTTGCACACATATGAGCTCTCTCCTTTACATTTTTTTTAAGCCTTTCTTCCAATGCTGACCTCTGCTGGGGCAACACACAATTCTTAAAAAATTCAATGTCACCTTCGGTCAAGCAAGATTGTTGTAAGGACGGCAAGGAAACTTTCGCCACATCATTTTCTTCATGTTGAAATCTATTGAGCTTTTTCCTTTTAAAATTAAGATTTTTTAGACGGGAGACTAGATATCTGGTTAAATGAAGAACGAGTATAACATTAATATTTAATAAACAACAAAATGGTTAGACAATTTAAAAGTGGAGGTAACTTCTTACCCTGTATTAGTTGCCGCATCAAAGAAAATATTCTGTCCTGTGTCTGATTTGAGGTTAGGGAAAAGGCTTGTTATAGCCAAAGCCATTGCATTTTTCTCATTCTTGGTAGGGTAGTTCGAGCATTCAGCCCTCAGGAGAGTAACAGCCTCATTTACGAGAACTCGACGCAATCCGTCTGAAAGGCTTTTCTTTTCGGCATACTCTTTCAATAAATGATGGCACTCGTTGTTTTCGAGATGCTGTTTCAAAAGCTTTGACAAAAACGTACGCGAATATATGTACATACATATGTCACTATAATCACATTGTATTTTATTTTTATTAATATTATATATTCACCTGACTGCTGATTTTTAGGCTTTCATCGCCAAATCTTTTTAAAGGGGGTTTTCTGCCTGATTGAGGATCTGAAACTTCCAGTAAGAAACATGCACAGGCGCTGTATTGCAAAATAAAACTTGCCAAACTTTCTTCTAGAATTTTGCTGCCACGAGCAGTGCGAAACGAGATTCTTTCACTTTCAATGGCGAAAGATTTTGCCACTGCAATAGACTACAGATGTAATTGCAAGTTTATTTAAGAATTGTTGATAAAAGTACTTACCAGTTTGCTCAATATAGCTTTTTACGCGTAATTTGCTTTTTGCAAATGAAACTAACTCGTATTTTTCAGCACATTTAATTTCAACAATAAGAATATCTTCATCGCGTTTCATTTTTCTACGAAATGAGACATACACATTTGTACAGACATCTTTTTAGTGCTTCTCAGGCTAACTTCATGAACATTCAACACACAGCAATCGAAAAAATAAGCATTTGGTCACCTTATCAGCTGTTTCAACAGTGCAGACATATATGTATGCATATCTAAATGAATATATTCACTCATCGCTCAATTAAATAAGTTTATTTCTCTCTTTTCTAGGTTAATAGGTTTATATTTTAAACTTTTCATGCTACAAGTGAAACTTTTTGGTTTTAATTTTAAACCACATCGGTTTCTCTGCTTCGTGGACTAAAATTTAAACCAGAATTTATTAAAAATTACTTAAAACTATTAACTAGTTTAAAAAGTAGACTAAGGTAGTTTAAAAAATGCAGCAAACCCAACTAGGTTTAAAAAATAAACCCAAATTTTTAACCGTGTACGTATACAAGCAAGAGCGCAACGAGGACAGCGCGACAGCATGCAAAATTACCCTGCAGGGAAACCACGGGCTAGGAATCAAATTTCTAGTTTCGTACTAGGTCTTTATCGCCAAAAAGGAACAAGTCCGATAGGAGCTAGATCTCCACCAGTCCAAAATCGGTGAAAAGTTGTACTTTTAAAAAACTAACTTTTTCAGTTTTCTTCACTAGAAATCTATATCTAACGTGACGAATTTAGAACTGGTTCGGAACTATAGAAAAAGAGATGCAGAACGAACTAGATCTTATTTGACGAATTTAGAACTAGTTCGGAACTATCGAAAAAGGGATGCAGCAGGGGGCTTGTTTACTTTACATCGATATGTGTTCGGCGGCTTCTGTATCTGCATCGGCTTCGGTATCTGCATTTCGCAGATACTTTTTCATAGCTTGGTAATACAAAACCAAAATTTGTGTTAACATTTCAACATCTTGGGACCGTCTGGAATCTAACAG